TTTTTCTTTGGTTCATTCAGATGTTTGGGGTCCAATCAAAATAGTCTTATAATGGGTACAAGTATTTTGTCTTCTTTATTGATGATTGTTCAAGAATGACATGGATTTACTTAATGAAAGAAAGAAGTGAATTATTTTCCATTTTTAAAAAATTCCATGCTGAAATACGCACACAATTTAGTGTTCCAATCAAAGTTCTCCGTTCAGATAATAGTCGTGAATACTTTCCTCCTTCATTTCAACAGTATTTAGAACGGAAGAACCGTTAGCTTCTTGAAACTGCTCGGTCTATTCTTCACCACATGAATGGGGTAGTTGAACGGAAGAACCGTTCAACTGCTCGGTCTATTCTTCATCAGACCTCATGTGCATTCACCCCTCAACAAAATGGGGTAGTTGAACGGAAGAACCGTTAGCTTCTTGAAACTGCTCGGTCTATTCTTCACCACATGAATGCTCCTAAACGGTTTTGGAGTGATGTTGTACTCACTGCATGTTTCCTCATTAATCAGATGCCCTCTTTCATTCTTCATGGTTAGTCTCCCTTCTCTATCTTTTTCCCACTTTATCTCCATTTCTATTAACTCCTCGTGTCTTTGGTTGTGTGTGCTTTGTCCACAATCTGAGTCCTGGAATAGACAAGCTAGATGCACGCTCAATTAAATGTGTCTTCCTTGGCTACTCTCGGACTCAAAAAGRGTACAARTGTTATAATCCCATTACYCGAAAGTGCTATGTCTGCCCTGATGTCACTTTTTTTGAGTCTGTACCCTTCTTCTCAAGTCTTGAAGCACCTTCGTCTCCACCCTTACTTACTCTTCTTCTTCTTGTCAGTGATCCAGTTCCAAATGCTGCTGTTGGAGTAGACTCATCACCTCATTCAGTGCAGATCACCACCGAACGACCATCGATCCGACAAGTGTATACACGTCGAACGACACCGGCCCCTCCTCCAGCTTCTACCTCATCCGTGGATCCTCTCATGGCTCGTATTGCTGAACCTTCAAACCTTGACCTACCCATTGCCTTACGGAAAGGTAAACGCAGTTCTACCCTCCATCCCATTTCCAATTTTGATTCATTATCTCGTCTTTCTACCTCACATCGCCAGTTTGTTTCACTTTTGTCCTTTATTTCCATACCTAACAATGGTCAAGAAGCTCTTAGTTCACCTGGATGGCGGCGGGCAATGGAGGAGGAACTTTTTGCTCTTCAACATACTCAAACGTGGGAACT